TTCAGCAAGAGGAGGAGATGATGAAAGCCATTGTGTATCTCCTCCTCCTCAGTGCTGGTAAGGTTGAAGCCCAGCCCTTCCAGCACCTGAGCCTGGCTGGTGGCTCTGGAGCCCAGGGCCAGAAGGGCAAAAGCAGCAGAGATGCTAATTGGGGAAAAGAAAATGTTCTTGCCAGGTTCTTGGGTGGTTGCTTGTCTGTAAAACCGAAAGGCAAAGTCTGTGTTGCTGGGGACTATCCGTTGGCAGGACTCAAGAGGATCTCCCTCAAGGGGATGCTGCTCCTGGAAGTCAGTTGCCTTGGGTTGACCACTGTAGTGGTCAGTTTGGGTCAGGCTGTGGACACTGAGATGAAGCATGGCCAGCAGCAAGCACAGTGGAAGGGTGGCCTTCATCATTCTTCACAGCTACTTCATGAACAAAGAGCAAAATTATCCTGGATGTTGGAGATCAGCTGTATCAACATCTCATCTTTTATTTCTATCTGCTTCTGGCTTCAGCTGGTAATCACTGTTATTTCCTGACTTGCTCCTTTACTATGGAAGTGTTTTTAAAATCCTTGAGGTTCTGAGTTTATCTGTAATTCCTGTCCATTGCTGCCCACCTCAGTTCTGCTTTACTCCAGCTACAAAAGTTCCTTGCTACTGGAAGAAGAAACTTGGAGAAAGAAACATGTGAGTATTAAAGAAAAGTTAGAGGGAGAGAACAAGTGAAAAGGCTTTTTCCTTTTTGTCTCTGTGTAAATCCATTTTATGGTAGGGCAGCACATCAGAAGCATTCTGAGTAATTCTTTTATGTTTATCTCTTAAGAACTCTCAGGATTATTATGCTATTAGGGATTGAATGAGGCTTATGTTAAATGACAGTACTATGTCAATGGAAAACAATGTGAGATTGCAGGATTCAAAAGTGATATTTTCTCTTATTCCTGACTCATTTTAACATGCAAAGTGACTAATCATATGAAAGCTGGTAAAACTTTTCTGCTCCAATGCCTGATTAGGTTAGAATATGTTTGTTTATTTTAAATGACCACTCATGTGACAGGTCTTCCAGATGGGTGTATCCTCCATCTGGTCATGGGAGGCTAAGGTCACTGGTGTGGACTTGGCCTCCCCTCTCTTATTCCTGACTCATTTTAACATGCAAAGTGACTAATCATATGAAAGCTGGTAAAACTTTTCTGCTCCAATGCCTGATTAGGTTAGAATATGTTTGTTTATTTTAAATGACCACTCATGTGACAGGTCTTCCAGATGGGTGTATCCTCCATCTGGTCATGGGAGGCTAAGGTCACTGGTGTGGACTTGGCCTCCCCTGTCAAACTTCATA